CACAAACACACAGTCACACAGACACAGTCACACAGTCACACAGTCACACAGTCACACAGTCACACAGACACAGAGTCACACAGACACACAGTCACAAATAGACACACAGACACAGAGACACAAACACAGAGACAAACACACAGTCACACAGACACACAGTCACAAATAGACACACAGACACAGAGACACAAACACAGAGACAAACACACAGTCACACAGACACACAGTCACAGAGACAAACACACAGTCACACAGACACACAGTCACAGAGACAAACACACAGTCACACAGACACACAGTCACAGAGACAAACACACAGTCACACAGACACACAGTCACAAATAGACACACACACACAGTCACACAGTCACAGAGACAAACACACAGTCACACAGACACACAGACACACAGTCACAAATAGACACAAACACACAGTCACACAGACACACAGTCACAGAGACAAACACACAGTCACACAGACACACAGTCACAGAGACAAACACACAGTCACACAGACACACAGTCACAAATAGACACACACACACAGTCACAGAGACAAACACACAGTCACACAGACACAGAGACAAACACACAGTCACACAGACACACAGTCACAAATAGATACACAGAGACACAAACACACAAACACACAGACACAGAGACACACAAACACACACACACAGACACACACACACACACACACACACACACACACACACACAGAGACACAGACACACACAGACAGAGACACAGACACACACACACAGACACACACACACACACACACACACACACACACACACACACACAGAGACACAGACACACACAGACAGAGACACAGACACACACACAGAGACACAAACACAGAGACACAAACACACAGACACAGAGACACACAGACACACACACACACACAGAGACACAAACACAGAGACACAAACACACAGACACAGAGACACACAGTCACACACACACACACACACACACACAGTCACACACACACACACACAGCACACCACACACACACACACACACACACACACACACACACACACACACACACACACACACAGTCAGTCAGTGCTCAATCTCAAAGGCTATGAAATAAGATTTGAGAAGTTCATCAATGTATCCAAAATACAACATGGGTCTTCGCCATAGCGACTGTGCTGTTTCAGAAACTTGACTTTTCAAAAGAACACCATGCTCCATGCTCAAATAGTTGTTTCCTTCTGTCTTTGGGTTAACCGTACGTCATGTTCTTGCTGTTTATTGCTTGTACTTACCTTTGTTGCATTAGGGAACAAAACAGGGACCAGTCTGAAGTTCAGGCAGCCTTGTTGGATGAACTCATTCTGGATCTGTGCCAACAGGAACAAATGCTTATAGTTCTCCATACACTTATACAAGTGATACTTTGACATGTTTACTGTAGGTTGAATTGGAGCGAGCAATACACTGCAGGCTGGATTTCATTTGAAATGTTCCATGTAGTCTGAAAAGGAAATGAATACTGGAGAGATTTCTCAACTCAAATGTGGGTGAACTCATTTGTTGCATTACTTTACAATAGTGAAAGAGATACCCTTACTTTAAGTCGCAGGAGGATGCTAACAAGCGACTGAATGAGACATATTGTCGAACGTTAGCCAAGCGGAGGATGATATCCTAATTTGTTTTATTTGATTCAATAGTTTATTTATCAGGGACAATGCACAGTGATGAACACTTAAAACATTACAATGTGTCAAGCGTAACAGTGCCAGATTTAGCGTTGAGCTCATTTCCATCCGCAGTCCCTCACATAAAACATTTAAGAAAATTGCATTTTACAAACATAGCAAAAACTAAATACATGATATGCAAAAGGTGCAAAAGAGCAAGAGCAGCATACACAAGTATTTATTTATTATGCAAGTTGAATTTAATAGTATTTGATACTTTCTTAATATGTTTCTTGAAAGTCAAGTTCGAGTCCAGTATGACTCCAAGATACTTGAAGTGGGAGACTAGTTCTATTTTTGCTCCGTTTAAAAACACGTTGGATCCTTCGATTTTGACTGGTCGTTTACTGAACATCGTGCATACTGGTTTCTTTACGTTTAACTGTTAGCAAATGTTGTTCAGCCAGTGTTGAACCTTGTCCAAAGCTTTTGAGAGACAGGATGAGATCATTTCAGTGTTTTCCCCGTGTACACAGATGACCGCATCATCGGCACATTCAACTCAGGACATACATTAGGCAAGTCATTTATGTACAGTGAATACAGCAGTGCTCGAATTGGAATAAAGAAGGTGCCAGTACTCTAAATCAGCAACTGTTTCAAATCAATTTTATTGAGAGAGGGAATCAATGGAGCTGCCAGGGAGGACACAGGGGAATCATACAACAAATAGGCGTACCTAGATGCGTCATGATGTGCCGGTACGCAGATGGGTAAAAATCAGAAGTCCCGGTACTGCGTACAATTCAAGCACTGGAAAACAGTAATGGTCCAAGAATGGAACCTTGTGGAACCCCAACAGGGTTGACAAGGTAGGGGGATTTGGCACCGTTGACCAAAACACACTGTTTTCTGTTCAATAAGTAAGACTTAAACCAATGTATTGAATCTGCCGAAAAGGCTTTTTACTTCTTGCTGTTGCTTTTACACTTCACAAATCATTATGTGGTGTTTATATGTGGAGATTAACAGTCAACGTGTCACTGTGTGGTTGACAGCTGTCTTTATAGGAGTCCTCACCTGGTTGTGGATGTACTTGGTGTGCAGGCCGTGCTCGTCGTCCCCATCTCCCTCCACGTCCTCCTTATACTTGGGACTGATGACCACGATGATGAGTACTGATTTCTGTAATGATACATCTCACTGTCAGCTTTTGCTGAAGACAGCATTACAATTTGGATTCATACTCTGCTCAATGGAAAGACTTACGTCATTCAAAAATCTGTCCATCCATTTGGTGATGTCCATTCTTCGGATTGGATTGTCAAATATATCAATCTGTAGACAACAGGTAGAATTTGAATGTTTGAATACAAAATCAGTGGGAATCAAAGGTGTGGGAGACATGGTATAACTTACTGCTGGTTTGAACCCTTGATCTGTCAGAAATGTGGTGAAAGGTATGATTTCTCTGGCGGTGTCCACTGAATATGTGATGAAAACATTCCCTGTCAACAAGAAGTCAGCGAAACATTCTTATCTTTGGGTATTAGTCCACCGCTGGCAAGTAACTTGCAAATGTTGGGCAATTTGTACAACTAGCAATTGTCGCATTAATTAGCAGTAATTATCCTAAGAAGACAATAGCTTAAAAATGGCTTGGCCGATTCAGAAAGGACCATGTACATATGTGACTTACTGCACTCCTCAGGCAGGCTGATGGTCCTCCTCATCTCCTGGGTGGCTGGCCCTGGATCAGGCTGGAGGGAGCGATGCACACTGACCTCACGCATCACATCCCAGGCAGGGGCTGCCCGCTGAGCCACAGATCCATGGGGGGTGTTTGGATCATCTTTAAGTTGTAGTCTATTATGGGGGGAATTCCTGTAGAGGAGTTCATTGCATGTATTACGTCTGTGAAGAATCATATGAATCGATGTTAAGAATATCAGATCATTATGACAAACAGGCCATACCTTGACTGTTGGGGGTGTTGATGCTCCCCGCATGGATCTGCTGGGTAATCATACTTATAAAGATGATTATTGTGAGTGTGATGGTGCAGTTGTGCTGGAGGGCAGCATGCACGCTGTCTGCCATGACGCCACAGACATTGATTTTGGCCTGCAGAGAGATATAAAGGAGCTGACATTAAACAGGTTCCCAAATCAGCAGTGAGGTCATGCAGAAACACAATGAGGAGCCAAATGATTCCTCACAGGGTTACAGCAGACAAAAACTAAATCCATCCCAGATGTAGTGATTACTGCATATAAACAAATGATCTCATTTTAGCTTGTAAAAGTATTTTTCTCAACATTTTAAACACTGATTTAAATGGCATATTTAGGTTTGTACTGTAGGCTGTAGTCTAATAATATTCAAAAATATTCAATTACTGTGATATATATCTTATATATATATCTCCTAAAATCCCAACATGACTGCACTGAAGAAACTGAAACGTTGACTTTAATGAAATGTATTATGTCATCAGATTTCACATAACTGTATTAGGTTAGTTGAAAGCAAAAGCTTTATAAACAACTTCATATTATTGCTTTCAACTAACTAACCTAGTACAGTTATGTCATTTTGTTGACATAATACATTGAAATAAAGTAAATGTTTCAGTTTTCCAGGTATAATGACCAATATTTCTAATGACTAAGTACCATGGGACTCAACATCTCCATTTATAAGGATTGTTTCTCTTTGTATTTATTGAGATACACCATACTTTTATTAATATTATTATGTTCATCATTATAGTTATTATGTTCCTACTTGTTTATTTGTGATTCTCACTTTAAAACTCACATTATTTTCTTTTTTAACATATCGTTACATAAAATATTCATCAACTCGTCATACCAAGCCAAGACAATCTGCCTCGTACTCCGGAGTTGGGAAGAGAGCGCTCATGAGTTCACTCTTTCTTTAACCTGATTCAGGCTGTGCAGATCCTGTTGTTACTGCACCCATACTAACACAGTACAATTGAATTCAACCCAATTTGTGATGTTCACAATAACATTTAAGAAAATAATAATCCATAGACCTTGAACACTACTTTTTATCATCAAACATGTCGTCCACAGAAACGTCCTGTAAATCTCAGGACCACTGACAGTAACAGAATGTAAAATGTTCCATGTGTCACTGACCAGGCATACAGGCAGGGTGTGGTGGAGGGACGTAGTCGGTGAAGTTATCTCCAGACCTGAGTGTGAGGGGGGGGTCCAAGCGTTCATCCTCCTCCACAGAGTAATGCTGGGGCCAGTCTGAATTACCCACAAAGCCTCTGGCGTGGTTAACCAGCAAGTCCCGCCCATACAGTGGAGACTGCTCTCTGAGGCCATGCAGCCTAACATCTGCATGGTGGGGAGGCATTAGATGAAGGGGGGGCTCTGCTCTGGGTTGAAGCCGCAGCTGTTTCTCAGGGAGTCTCCATGGGCCCTCAGTGTGTGCCGCCCCCCCCCGCCTGCTCATGGCTGGCTTGTATCTGAGACCTTGTGATCACTGTATGTCCACTGCACTGTCTGCAGGGGGGGGGGCAGGCCAACTCCAGACTGGAGGGTGTCATGCTCTCGTCCATCTCTACAGGAACACTCTGGTGAGGGCAGCCCCCTGACAACAAGAGCCAACAGAAAAACCTGTTCACACTTCCCAGCAGACAGTGAATACTGCTGACTCATCACGTTTGGTTTCCTACCTTTCAAAGAGTCCATTTAGCCTAACAGTGTGACGCCTCTGCTGAAGTGAACACTAAGATAACAGTACAGGACATGAATAGAGCAGGACAGGTTAAAGACACAGACTGCACAGCTCCTTACATTCACACAGCTGGCACGTAAACAAATGAAGTCTCAACTGAGGGATTCAAAGTCCGTTTTACAGTCACGATCAAGTAAAAACCGAAAATAGAAGTGTTATGTATGTGCAGGGTGAATAGACAAATATAAACATGAGTACATAACATATACAAAACCGCATTCTCACATTCTTGGTTCCTCCTCACTGAATAGGTGTGACACATTACACGTAACTTTAGAGGAGCGGCAGAGTTTAGCACATTCACTGCAAACTAGTACAAAGGTCAAAATCACAGAACTAAAGGTATGCTAGGTATGGCTTCTTAGATCACAAATCGAAACAATTTGTAAAGTTTTAGTATGTTTTCCCTTATAAATGTACATCCAGAGAATAAAGTGTACTCCTACGCCTACCTTTTCTTAGACCTGCTTCTCTGCCACCCACAGCACAGACCTGTTCTGAAGCAAACAGGAAGTATTCCCACTATGCAAAGCAGGGAAGTGTCGTGACCCATTTATGCAAATAATGCGGGGCATTAAGACTGCAACCGCCTGATGGGTTCTTCAGCAAGGTGAGCCTCCTGTGGCTATTCAGCTTTCACTCGTTCTATTTGATCCCACCCTTAGTAAAGAGCACGTATAAGTCTTGAAGTAGTACATTACAATGTGTCAACAAATAAGCAGTTGACTTGACAGGTAGATGAATAGCACTGCAGCAATATTAATATTTCATGAGATGTGACTGTTTGTGATGAGCGAACATTTTGAGGTTTCAAAGCAGATGTCCTTTTACAACTACCTATGACCTGGACCACTCAGAATCTACAATCACCTGCAGAATAACCCTATGGCAACTTATTCACATACATTGTTACAATAGTTCATCCACATTCATCATTAGTTTATTTCATATGTTTGACAAGACAAATCTACCGTGAGGTGGTAGTTAGTGTTTCATGCTAATGTTATAATGCTAACATACTCAAAATGTCAATACAAACATCCCGATGTTTAGCAGGTCAAATGTTTACCAATGTTGCTAGCATTTATTAACACGCAATACAAAGTACAGCTGAGGCTGATGGGACGATCAATAGTTGAAAAGGTATTTAATCACATACCATCACTTTTCAGTATTAGTATCATCACAGCTTTTGTGGGGATAGCTTAACATCGAAAGGTCATATACATTTAGTTGGAATCCCTGAACAATTTTGGTAAGTGGGCTTTTGTGAGATTTTTTTTGTCAAATTTCTATTTAAAAAGTCATGAAGGAACATTAATGTTTAAAGGATTACATTTTTGAAAGTCTTATTCTTGTCCAATCTTCCAGATGGGTTCTACTCCGTCAGTTTGAGATTGGTCAGCACCACAGTCACAGGGTCAGCGGATGGCAAGGCCTTATGATTGGCCACAGAGAAGACCCTCATGGTGGTGTGGGTGAGAACAGAGCCCAGATCACGGGCCTTAGCCTTACAGCTGGCCACTTGGAGCAGCTCCCGGCGGAAGCAGCGGCTCACCATGCAGTAGAGCAGGAAGTTGGTGGTGGAGTTAAGGTTCTGCAGCATGTTGGCCAGGTCTCCGGCCACATTGATGGGGATGTTGTAGTCGTTCCTGTTGAAGTTCTCATTGTTGTACTTGGTCCTCAGGATGCAGTATGTGACAAAGCGGGGCAGGCTGAGGACGACAAAGGTGACGGAGACGGTGCCCAGGAGCAGGATGGTCCTCCTCAACATGCCCCTGGTGCTCCGCCCATGCATCACACGACGCTCCTCCTTGGTGAAGAGGTTGCTGGCGCGGCACAGATGGTAGCCGATGAGGTAGTTAAAGATGATGACCAACACGATGGGGATTCCCCCTGAGAGGAAGGTAGTTATCCACACTATATACGTAGAGTAGGCCTGGTCGCGGTAGCGACACCGGGGCAGTGTCACATTGTGTCCGTCCACAGTAATGTTGACAGGTGAGACGATGTTGATCCAGCCCAGCGGCACAGACACAACATGGGACACCAGGACGATCGCCACACATGTGAGTTTAGTGACCTGGGCCTGGGAGAAGTGCTGCTTGGCCGCTGTGCTGCGGAGAACAAGGTAGCGCTCGATGGTGAACACCACCACGATCCAGGAGGAGCTGTAGAGGGATCCATATTGCAGCACTCCCAGGATGGAACACCAGGGATTGGAGTTCCAGAAGGGCTGCAGCAGCCAGAAGGTGAGGGTCAGGTCTACAAGGATCACCCACACCAGGTAGAAGGTGTCCATGATGGCCAGGCAGCTCAGATAAATGATGGCCGTGTCTGACATCCCGCACTTACGGAAGCAGATCATGTAGAATGTGAAGAGGTTTGCTGGGAGACACAAAGATTATTATATTTTCCTGGCTGGTCCAACTTTTAAGTTACAACCAATGTATGCTTAATAATTCAGTAATAATCAATGTTGGTACATATTGGGGCTTGTCAGAACTTTTATCCTGGTTCAGCGAACATTTTTCTAAAAACTCAGAAGCTGTCAAATATGTGTGTAGCATGCTGGTCACCCATACACCCAAGTCGCCAATATGTTGTGACCATTGTTTGCAAGCCTATCACTAGTCTTTCAAAAAAGCCATAAGGTCATATTTTGAGCTTATATTTCTAAGTTTGACATGTTGTATACATATTATAAAATGTGTAACTTTTGTAAACTGCATGTTTATTTTGTAACCCTTTCCCCCTTATTCCAGTCTTTGAGCTAAGCTAGGCTACACATTCCCTAGGCCTACCTGTATTTGAACACACAGAAGTGAACCTTATCTGACTGTGGTGTTGAATGCCAATGTGTATCCCAAATCACAGGACTATTCTTTAACAGACTGTAGATTTTGCAGTTATGTTAGTAACCAGAGGTGGGAGGTGTACTTATATAAAGTACCAGAGTGTAGGAATACTCTGTCACAGTAAAAGTCCTGCATTCAAAATGTTCCTCAAGTAAAAGTAGGAAAGTATTCTCATCAAAATATAGTGAAAGTAGCGACAGTGAAAAGTAGTCGTTGTGCAGATTGGACCATTTCAGAATAATATATATGATATGTTTTATAATGATTGATCATGAAAGTGTTCTCAAAGCTGGTAAAGGTGCAGCTAGTTTGAATGACTTTGTATACTGCAGGGTAGCTTGTGGATTTACTCCAGGTGGAACTACAGTCTGATTTAACACTTGGTTATATTTCACATCATTCATCCAGATTTGTAAAGTACATGTACATAAAGTACACGATGTAACTCTGAATTGTAGTAGAGTAGAAGTGCGAAGTAGCAAAACATATAAATACTCAAGGAAAGTACAAAAACTCCAAATGGAGTAAATACTTAGTTACTTGTCATCACTGTTAGTCACTTATAGAATAAGATGTGGATGCTGTGAGGGCAGTGGGTCAATGTGCCTGGTTACTGCCTGCAGGACACAGTGAGCTAAAGTGATTGATTCACTTGTGCCTGGAACAAGAAGAAGATAGAGACCTGGGATGCCCACGACGCAGAGCAGAGGGTAGTAGACCCTCTGGAAGGTGACGAGCACAGTGGAGCCGGCCCCCTCCATGCTGCATTCAGCGCCGCTCAATAGCTCACATACTAATACCTGCAATAAAGCCATTAGAGAGGTGAGGACAAACACTGTTGAAGCAGAGTACAGCTGTTACCTCTTTAGAACATTGGAGCCATTAAGCCTTTATAAGGTTATTATGAACTACTTGGAGACACTTTGGTGAAAGTATCACCAAAATGACTACATTTAAAAAGTCAAGACAGTATACAAAAACATTACAGATGAAAATGATTTTTTAATGTTCACTGAAAAAAGTGAAATGTACTGTATATGTGAAATCTGTTAACATGATACATTTAATTAAAGTCAACATTATTTCAGTGTGGATATTTATTTTGTATTTTATTTACTAATGGTTGTAAATCAGAGGTCATCGAACCAACCGTTTAGCCGCTTGGTTCGTACAACTAATGTGTCATCACTTTCAGAGCGTTTTTGTTCAACTATGTTTAAGCTCGAACTTTATTTAGCTCCAAAGTGAAAGTGAGACATTCAGCTGACGGCTGACCTGAAGAGATGGAGATATGTCCTGTGAAACACAATAACACTAAACTGATAGATCACACAGAAGTCCTACAGCTCTCTGGACAATGGATGTTTTATTGAAGCCTTCACCCTTCCACAGTGCATTATAAATCATCTGGATTATTAATGCCGATGAATAATGTTCATCTGGATAGTCAATACTACAATAGTTGAAATAAAACCTACCTGCTCTCTATAGATCCTCCGAGCTGTTCTCTATAGGTGACACACAGGAGTGACTTCCTCAAAGTGATAGAGCTGGTGATGTCTGGAGACCACGAGACCATCCATAATGTGAGGAGGGAAGGCTTCAGGAGGAGGGAGCTAACTCACTGGGAAATAACTGATGGCACACAATAAAACGCACAAGTATTAATATGTATCCTATTGTGTTTTTATGAATACAAATTAAACTTGTGATTTGTTTCCAAATCATCCGTTTGAATAGCAAGCTTGATCAATCATTTCTCAAGGACACAGAATGCATATCTTTTTCCACTGCAACAAAAACAAAGTTATAGGATAAATAAATATTTCTAGAAAGATACAAATGTTTGTGTTATGGAAGAAAAAGATAGTCCAGAGTGCCTGTAATGATGTAAATACTACAATCTTCTGACAGCAAGTGCCTCTGACCCCGCTGGCTCATGTCACTGGGTTACGGTATTTTCTTTTTTAAATTGCCAAGACATTTGTGCAACTACAGTAGACCTGAAGGATCAACTAAGGTGGGCCTGTCTGATGGGATACCAGGGGCTAATCGTGTGCCCTGGTATCACCATATCCAACAGGAACATCGGCACAATAAAGTAGACACATTGTCACCTGCTTCTGGAGGGGGGGACCATACATATCTAAAAACAAATGTCAAGGCTAGATGTGAAATAGTTGCTTTTTCTTGACATTCACAGTCACTGATGTCCTCTGGGAAATATTCTGTATCAAATGGATCTGCCAACCAAAAAAGGAACATCACCTTTGATATACTAAATCAAATCAAGTTTTATTTATATGGCACATTTATAAACGATTTTTGGTCGAGCCAAAGTGCTGTACATAAAATAAACATAGCTTACAGTAGAGACACTTTACAGCAAATACAACAGCACAGATTGTTCAGAATATCAGTATGAGAAAAACGACACCCTCTATCCTTAGACCCTCACATCGTACAAGGAAACACTTCCAGAGAAAACCCACAGTTTAAGGCCCTGTCACACTGTCCCGATGGACACACGCATATGGAATTGTGAATTTCGCACGAAGATGGCCCCGAACCACACACAAAGGCAACATTTACATTACATTTAAGACATACAACTGCAATGAAAGTACCAAAAACAATTATGTTACAGTACTATGATACTGTACTGATATCTTCAGA